CGTAAGATTTGTTAAATAAAAGGGAACTCTTTAGCTACAATGTATCAATGTTATGTTATAAAACAAATGGTAAACACCACAGCGTACACTATTGAGTTATGGATGCACTTGGGAGGTTTGCTAAGCACTCAAGAAGCTAGAGTCGCTCTCGGCTATCGCCTCGAGCGACTCTTACGCTTCTTTCGTGCTTAGCAACCTCCCACGTGCATCCATAACTCAATAGTGTACGCTGTGGTGTTTACCATTTGTTGATTAGTTCCTAGAAATCTATCATAATATGGATGGAGACAAATTTAAAAAAAGCGACTAACTTGGCTTACGTGGTTTTGAAGAAATTTCAAAACAGTGTTTTAATTTTCTCTTGTTAACCAACAATCATGTTAAAATAAACGAGAGGTTATTGGCTAATTGAAGTCCGCAGTGAGCCTCATTCCTTAATGAAAATTTATGAGCTTGTACTCGTGAGTAAGGGCATTTTTAGTTTCATGCGCTTAGAGCATCCTTTATGCTTTCATTCTCCAACCAGTCCTGTCACTTGGCGTTGCCTTGTTTGTTGTTTGACCCAGCTGTTCCACCTCTGGTGAACTCTCAAGGGAACTTGACAAAATTCTGAGTGTTGCAAAGATAGGGTTAGGGGTGGGGGGGGGAAGGGGTAATGGACTAACAACAACAAGGAAGTAGAAATGCTCTTGGTCGTTGATAAGCATTTGCAGTTTAGGCATGAGAACTAGTCGAGAACGAGCATGAGAACATGAGAACGAGTAGGAGGCGTCGTGGCCGAGTGGTTAGGGTGCTGGACTTGTAATCCGGTGTCCCGGGTTAGAGTCCTCCACCCTGCCACTCACTGGATTTGTTCTCGGTTGCCCCTAGTTCAACTCCTCGGCTGCGCTCTGTAAATAGCCCACTGGGCTATTTACAGAGGCTATTTATTTACATAAAAATCCCCACTGCCAGTGGGGATTTTTAAGCTCTTAGTTAGTCTACATTGTGGCTGAAAAGCCCCTAAGGGGGAGCTTCAATTAACGTATATCATTATTATTATTATTATTATTATTATAGTCCAGCCTTTTATCGTTGTGGGGGAAAAGAGCAGACTTGAATAAGTGCCAGAAACTGAGCCCACCAACAGCCACGAGAGTCGATCAAATATCCCGCTTAAACCCTCTCCAGGTAAACTCGTTAACATGTCTCTCTTATCCTCCCTTCCCCTAGAGTTTTAGGGGGTGAGAAGAAGAGAGTGCCTGGGAATTAGATCCCCTCTTATGGGAGGAGCTTCTATGGGCCCTAAAAATCCACAGACCACACATACATTCTGCGTAAAAACGTTTTTATTAAAATTCATTTAATATTAAACAGACTTCCTGTTAAGGGATGTATGGATGTAACATGACCCTTTCACATTTCTACTTGGCTTTAGTTCTTCTTTGCCTTGAAGTTTTCATACTTTGAGTGGCTCCGAAACCAGACAAGAAACGGTATTAGAATGGTGGGTAAAGACATCAGGCTAAAAAGACCCCAGTCAACCTATAAAGGAGGAAATATTGATTCCTGTAAGCACATTGGAGGAGCTGATTAAACCTGCATAGTGGACACACAGTTGTGCCACAAATATCAGTGTTCATAAAAACAGGAAGAGGAGGAGAGAGTTGTTTTGAGAAAGTTTGTCTGAAAAAGGGTAAAAGTACATGCAACAACCTTGCAAGGTAATGAAGTCAGATCTGAGAAAACCTCACTGTTAAGAGATGGCATTACAAGTTTGATGAATTTATTTATTTGACTTAGCAAAATTCACTGATTACCAGATACCCAAATCACCTTTCAAGATTGTTGCATGCACCTTTTTCCTTTTTTTCTGACAACCTTTCTAAAAACAGCTGTAGACACAATTTGTTGAAGTTACTTTTGTTTAAATGAATTATTTCTCCTGGAGCTTGCAAGAAAAAGAATAAAACAAATGGATGGATGAACAAATTAACAAACATACAGGTACAGGAAAGGTTTAGAAAATAATCTATAGGCCAACTGGAAAAAGAAAACTTTCAACAAAACAGGAAAAAGGCCAGATGTATGTTAAGTTACCAATCCAAAGAAAGAACAGATTAAATCCTTATGGGTAAAATAAAAAGTACCAGTAAATTACTTTTTTTTTTTTTTTTTCATCTGTGGCCTGTTCCAGAAGCCTTTGCATTGAGGAACACAGGTATCATCACTTTGCATGTTTAGGTGCTACAGATCTTATTTTCTATCTGCAGTTTTACTACAAAAATACTTAATCTAAATAAAAGCTAAATGGTGAGATGGAAACTCCTGCCCTCATTTCCCATTAATACACAGTGTGAAAGACTGCCAAACTTACTAAATGTGGAGAATGTTTACGATCATATTCATTTTGAGGCATAATTCCTCCTTCTCCTGGGCTTGTAGAAAAAGCAATCTACCAGGAAAAGAACATATCAAAATCTCAATTAATACAAATTTAAATAAGTATCTTTCAATGTTTCCTTTGACCTTACATCAGGAATTTGGTTTCAAAATGATGGTAATTCTTGCTTTGATATTCTCATAAAAATCATTTTTAGTTATTTTCCATGCCTTTCTGTGAACCTCACTCAGATTTCATGAAATTTTCTGGCTTTTACGTCGTTTATTATAATTCATTGACCTTCCAAGGTATTCCAAGACTTTTATGAAACCTGAGGCACAACACACCCTGCAAAGCACCCAAAATGAGACAGCATACCACAAGTTTCCCTTTTGTTAAGAAATGATCTTAACCTTTAAACTCACAAGATCTGATTAATAATTCTCCCCTCCAGTTGCTACACATTTCCTTGCAAATTAGCTACAAGAATTTGGTGTTTCATACACCGAATTCAAATATGGCGTCCAGTTTGAGTTGCTATTGTTCTGGACTCACTAGCCCCTCACACATGTCACAATCCTTCTGTGTTTCCATGCGAAGACAATGCTAGTGAGTCCAGAACAATGGCAATTCAAATTGGACACCATATTTGCATTCAGTGTATTGAGATTACAACTACCTGATAAGTTTGAGTATTCTCATTAACTGATTGCAAGATAATGTATGGATATTCTAGGGAGAAGTTGCATGTGAATCACTTTTGGATGTTAAGGGGTAAATAGTCTCTAAGTTGCAACTACCAAGAGTGTGAACACATATAAACTATTCAGAGAGTTAACCTGAGAATCTGTGGCATCTTCAGAAGCTTTGTAGGTGACCTGTGCTGCGGTGAAGTTAAATATACCAGACTTTAATGGTTCCAGGATGATAGTGTGGGATACATTTGAACCACTGATGGGCCAGTTAAGGAAGACTGGTGGTTTATTCTTATTTTGATTTACAATGTTATGTCATAAACCCACTAGTCTGCAGCAGACCTGGCTGAGAACCTCTTCACTTTTGGACCCAGACTGATACAAAAATTCCCAAAATCAACTTTGGTGATTGGCTCTCTTTTCTTAGGGTCATGATCAAAAAAAGGTAAAGGTAACAACAGTAAGGTTTGAGCCTCATGACAGTCTTAACTATTCAAGTTTTTTCAGTTTTTTTTTTTTTTTTGGACATGTTCACAATGATAATAATTATGATAATAACACAGTCCCTAACAAACTCATTGTAGGAAGCAGCTGGGGTTGAGAGAATGTGTTCTCTTTTCTTTCTCATCAGGCAAAAATGTCATGATCAGCACATGATATCAGTAATGAACATTTACAAAACAACAATTCATTTGCTGTAGCAGCGGGGAACACCTTTCACAAGAGCAAATACAACAAGCAACTGAATAAATATGAAGGATACGGAGCAATAGTTTTCCACTTGACTGAAAGTAATCCATGGAGAACCTTAAACTCATCCGCTGGGAAAGAATTATCTGACAAGGACACTGATGTGGCAGGCCTGAAATGTAGACAATCATGTTAAAAATATAGAACCCAGTAAATAGGAACTACAACCAGTGTCAAAATTAACTGACACATTATGTCTGAAGAGTTCTATTTACTGGGTATGTGAAGAATAACTGTCCTGTTTCTATCACACTCTAAATTATTAAGAGACCCCCCTACCCCCATTCAATGTTAGCTGAAAAGAGAGGGGAGAAAAATGGTTAACTTAATGAGGGCAGGAGAGATAAAATTGAAGTAATATTAATTGGGTTGAAAAGATCAATGTGTCAACAATTTTGTTTCCGCTTCTGGAGAAAAAACAGTGATTGGTACATTTTGTTGCTACTTTAACCCTTTCACTCAAAGGAGTGATCAATAAGTAATTTCTCCTTGAAACAGCACTACATTTTAAGCAAAGAAGTGATGGGAGGTAGGTAAATTATCCTCTAAGGGATATTGCCTGATTTAACACCAAATTCTACCTGATCTCAGAGCAAACATGGTAAGCAATATATGGCAGACACTATATAGAAATTGATGTTCAGATCTTGGAAGTGAAAGGGTTAATGGGTGTAAGATAAAAAGTTAAGTCTATTAGCCTAGCCAGCCAAAGCTTTTTCCTGTTTCCAAGTAGCATGAAGCAACTGGAGTTGAACTCCAGTATTACTCCTCCCTGTCCATCACAAGGTTTCTCCCCAGTATTTCATCAGGTTTCCCTGGCAATTGACCAGTACCCATATCTATTATCCAAATATACGTCATAGGATACAAATAACACATGAGATAGTACAAATATCACATGATATTTGTACTCTAGAAATATCTGCAAAATTCACATACACTGAAATAACAATTTGGCGCGTAAGATAATAAATCTCTTATTAACCGTTTTGTTGTGTAGTATCGTTGAGTATTTTTACTCACTGTTTGTATTTTGACTCACCCTATGGGCTCATCAAAATATGGCACAACTCGTAAAAATACTCAGCGATACTTCAAAACAAAATGTCTAATAAGATATATATACTCCCAGGTGGAGAGAGGCAATGAGAGAGGAAAGTGTTTTGTCCAAGAACACAACACAATGACCCCACCAGGTCTTGAACCCAGACTCCCGGACCCGCAGTCCAGTGTACTGACCATTAGGCCAATGTATCTCCCACACTGGGTGTAAGGCTTATAATAAGTAAAAATATAGAGAAGAACCTGACTACATTGAGGGATTGAAATGGGCTACTTTTGCAGTCAATAAAGTCCTGTAATCATAAAAGTCAATTTGAAAAAAGTTCAGTGAAACTATCCCTTCATGTGGGTGATTTTTGGGCAAGTGCTCTATAGAGCTGGCACTCTGCTTATAGAAGTTGAAACTCTGAGACTATTTTAATTACCCTCTATTGCATTAACAGGTTGACAAAATAATGCTAGCTGAGTGTATCAGCACATTAATGACCTTACCCACTTCCAACATTATAGATGCTGTAGTGCACTGTCAATTCCTTTCCTTCAACAACAAATTGGTTGAGAATATTTTTGGAGATGAGAAGTCTGGCACTAGAATCACCTTCAGCGCTTAATGCACATCCTATGAAGGCTCCAACAAGGAGACACAAAAACAGCTGAAACACAAAAATTAAAAATACATCAGCCATTTGAATCCTTACACCAGTATGCACATTCCCCATACTGTTCTCTATACATTTATTTAAGATTCTGATGAGGAGAATTTGTTTAACAACCAAGAGCTTCTTTAGTTGATGATAATTTTCTTTATTCTTGTGACCTTAACGTGAGATTCGAGGGTGACAATGTAAGGAGAAACTACATGCCAGTCACTCCTTGGGGTCAAAAGCTTCAGACGTACTTTCAAGCCCTTAAAACTTATGATTAACAATTCACAACTTCTTTTGACATATTTTTAGAACGGTGAAAACTATGTGAAATCACGAGCTCAGGATCATCGCCATTAAAGACGTTAAAAAAAATTATGAACAACAGTTACAACAGCTGTTTCTTTTTTTTAAACTAGAGAACTATGATCAATTTTGCGTGTTTGTATCTTGCAAATATCCAATTCATAAACAAAGCTACACGTGACAAGAACTGCCTCCAAGTACTTTGACTGTAAAAATCCGAGAACTTTAACGACATCAAGCTCATATTGCTGCTCTGATCCTACTTCGAAGGTAATGTAACAAAGAGGTTACCGCGAAATGACAAAATCTGCACTTACTGGTTTCATTCTTGCTACTACACACCACTGTAATACCGTCTCGCCAAATTTCTAAGGAAGAAAAGAAAGCTACAGTGTTGAGATGACGTGTTCCAAAGCGAGGCGCACGATTCGTGCATGACTCCCTGACTGTTTACCTGAGCCGCCGGTCCTGCTGTGACGTCACCTTGCCCTTCACAACGAAGACCAAACAGACACAAGCAGTCTCAAGTTGGACGGATCAGCTGCAGCGGTGATTGGCTGTGTAACTCCACAAGCTTGGTTCAGAAGCGTTTAAGGCCGTTTCGCACCCACCATTTCATTTGATAGTTCAATCGAGAGCAGTTGCAATAGCCTCTGGAGGTTTGCAAGTCGCCAGTTGTACCTGAAACAACATCATGTGCGTTGTGTTCGAGTTGTAAGCAGACTTAGTGCTTATCCTCAGTCGCACATTGTCACAAAACCTTTTTAGTTCAAGGCTGTGTTTTCTGACATATTGGTCCGGAGATGAACAAGAAATTCATTTCAGAGCAAATAGATGGAGCTACAAGACTTGGTCATGAGCAGCTTGCTAAAGGAAATATTGACGAGGCTTGCAGTTCATTCGAAAAGGCCGTTGAACTTGCAGAAAGGTTGAAAGAGGGATTCACGGAAAGAGCTTGCTATTTCAATCTTGGAGCGTGTTATGTTGCACGTGGAGATCCTAATCGTGGAGTAGAATACTTGAAAAAATCTTTTCCGCCCAATAAGGAGTTGGACGGTAGGACAAATTATGCAGATTTACAGTACAATTTGGGAACTGCTTACGACGCGCTGAGCGACATCCAGAAGGCTGTGGAATGTTACGAGATCGCTGCTGAAGAATACAAAGCTCAAAAAAACTTGGAAATGCGAGGAGAAACTCTTCTCAGACTGGGTAAAGACTGGACGAACATCGGCGATCTGAAAAAAGCTGCAGAAATTTACCAACAATGCGCCGAAATATTTCAGGAAATGGGAGACAAAAATACACAGTTGCTTATTTTGAACAACCTTGCTAGTTTGCTCGGAGAAATTCGGGATATTGCAGCCTGTGGTAAAGTGCTTGCTCAAGTTATTGAACTTTGTCAAGATGTCGAAGACAATGGCTTGAAATGTAAGTACACTATAAAGTTTGTATACAGGGCCATTCCATTTAATATCTGCACCCCCCCTATTGAAGGCCTGGGATTTCTTAGGGGGAGGGGGGTCAATGCTATATTTTTTCTTAGGGGGGTCGAACCATATTTCTGAGAGGGGTCACCATAAAGTACCCTTGACAGAAATTCTCACGAGTAGTTTCTGAAGGGGGTTCAGTTGGTTTGCTTGATAGCTACATAAAATTCTGAAGGGGATAATTTCAGGCAATTCTGAAGGGGGTTAAAAAATTTATTTTCTGGAGGGGTGTTACAGGAAAGCCTTCAATAGGGGGGGTGCGGATTTTAAATGGAATGGCCCATACACTCTTTGTTAAGCATCACTGCCCGTATAATTTGGTAATAATCGATATCATTTAAACGCATCAACAAACAAGGCCTTGGCCTTTAAATATTTCGAATTCCATCATTTCCCTTTAGGCCCTGTTTACAAGCAGGTAGGGTAACACTAGTGCTAGGGTTACCCTGGCAGGAGGGTTACCCTAACGCTCCCACATTTCTTCTTTTTTTCATCAACATGTTTACAAGGCAGCTAGGGTTACCCTATCACTAGCTGCCTTGTAAACACTCTGCTGGGGATAACTTGCCTACCTGGGACAACTTTTTACTTGTTTCCAGACCCTTTGAACATTGATAACAATGCGTGCGGTTACCAAGCATAGGTAAGTTGTCCCGGGTGGTAGGGTAACCCTACCTGTGAAATTTTGCTTGTAAACCCGGGCTATCTTTGACCCGCCTGCTAGGGTAACCCTAGCACAAGGGTTACCCTCCTTGCTTGTAAACAGGGCCTTAGTTACTTGCTCAGAAACTAGTTACACTTTCACTAACTAAAGATTTTTAATTTTTTGTTCGAATTCCAGTAATGTAAAACAAAACTAACCTTAAGTGTCGATAGTTTCTGTTTTACATTATTGTGCTGTAAGTAGACATTATGACTTTAATTTTCTTTCAACAATTATTTAATTTTGTACATTTTATTGCTCGTGTCTGTTTAATTCAACCTAAGTATCAAATTACTTGCTTGCATTTTAATTTGATATGCTTAGGGTTGAATTATTTCTTAGACTGGTCATTACCACTGAAATTCTTCCCCTGCAAAATAATTATCATAAATTAATGAGTCTACAACCCACTTATATTTAGTTATAAATTGGATTTGAATGGATTACAAAAGCGGACAAGTGATTATACTTAATTGCAAATTGTAATAGTATTTTATATTTATTAGTGATAATGATGATAATGGTAAAAATTAATAGTAATGAGATTACTTTTCATTTACATAGAACAGATCTGTTTTTTTTTAGCATTAATTTCTGCTCTGCAATAGTTACAGGTGCTCAGATTGATGAATGGTCGAGTTTTGGTTTTTACATTTCATTAGGGAAATATTATTTTGAAAGGCAGGGCTCGAAATTAACAGTAACCCGTTAACTAATGGTTAGTAATTTTCAACGTTTGGTTACTAAAAATGTGTCCAACTAACCCAACATGGTTAGTAAAATTTTCAAACATATTTAAATTATGTTTTATGGAAATAACCTTTTTACAAATAAGTACTAAGTTTTAGGAACGGTTTATGTGTTGTTTACTTGCATTAGCTTGTTTTCTGTCTTAAACAATTTGTTCTTGCCGTCTTTGGGATTGAATCTAGCCATTTTGAGCACTAAGGCCCCGAATGCGAATTTGTGTCAAATGTGGGAATCTAGACACAACTTTATCAGACTGCCATGTTGCAGCTCCTTATTCACACCAAAATATTATTGTTCACAAGGTTCTGGCAGTTTGGCACTGAATTATGCAGAGTTCTTTAGTCATGGTAAATGAGAGGGAATTAAAATAGGTGCATAATTGTCAATGTTTTTAAGGTCACCATGCAATTTCAGTTGCTCTTTAATTTGTCCTGGTTGTCATTAGCAAAATGTTCAATATTAATTTTGAGATATCGTAACTTGTGAGCTTGGATACCAACTTTATAATTTGGTTAGTAAAAAAGATGTCTACTAACATGAAGGGTTAATGATCCAAAAATTAAATTTGAACCCTGTTGAAAGGGTTTGATTCCCTCTCTTTGAGTAATGTAAGTCAATTGTATTTTATGTTAAAGTTGGCAAGATCTGTTTCAAAACCAATTGACATACAGCTGTAAGTTATAAATCAAAGAGAATATTAATTTAGCACCAAAACTGTTTAATGGTAGGTAACTGTTTATGTGCAAAGAGCTGTAGTTTGAATTCAAATTTGTGAAAAAGATGAAATTGTTATTAAGTTGTGCTGAAAAGTGTATTCTTTATCAACAACTCTGCTGATTTTAAGGTGTAGGATGCATATATACATTTTTTCTGTTGAAATTAGGTTAAAGAAGGACTGCTGTGTGAAAAACTTGAGTTTATTTGTCAGACAGGAAGGTTAACTACCTTTGAGGCTTTTTGAGTAACAGGTCTACGAAACAAAAAGGAAACTAGGTGTTTTCACCTAAAAAATTATTCCTCAGGTAGTTGTTAAGGTATTTGGTGACTTGCATTGTAGAAAAATTTAAAAACTGGATTGCAGAGGGGAAGATAAATTGTGCTAGTCATATTAAATTTATTTAGAATTCATAGCTCTTCGATGAAAATACAGGATTTTAAGTTCTCCATCATTTTCAAGGTTTGGGATAATGAAATATTATATATGTTGTAGTTCAATTTTATACTTGGTTCAAATTTTATTTTCCTTTGTTCTCAGTCATGATAATGTATGATAATGAATTTGAAACAAAGGAAAATAAAATTTGAACCAAGGATAAAATTGAACTACAACATATATATGGCAAGTTTCTTTATTTTATGGGTGATACCATATATGAACAATAAGTAATGCCATTCAATGCCTAAGTGTTGAAATTATCGTTAGTTGCTCTAATTAAAACTGTTTCCTCTTGTTACAGGTAAAGTTTACAATGACATTGGTCTTGTTTACAGTGGATTGAAGTCTTATGAGAATGCAGCAGAATGCTTTGAACTAGCACTTCCCCTTATGCATACTGAGAATTCTAACAAGGAACTGGAAGCTGTTCTACAACAAAACTTAGGGGCAGTGTATAATCAGCTTAAGCAGTACAATAAGGCTATGGAGTGTCACAGGCAGGCGGTCAGCCTTCATGGTAAGAAGTCATGACATTTAGAATATGTGAAATGTAATCAGAGATTTTTGTTACCAAAAGCATGTGCTTGTTCAAGGCTGTGCTCTAAGAAACATTAAAGGGAGCCCAGTGCTCTGAAACTGTGAAATCCAGGGTGCCCAGTATATGCTTTTCATGAAAAAAACTAAGATTCCTGAGTCACCTAAGCAGGGCTGCAAATAACAGCCGGTCAACGGACAATGTCTGGTCAAAATTAGGTACTGACTGGACAACATCTTGTCCGGTCCTTTACCGACTCGTTCAAAGAAATTTTAATTTTTAACTGTTTGCTAATCACAAGGGACACAGTCATGTTTCCAAAAGACAAAAAAAAACAATATAAAAGTAGACAAATTAGTGGTAGAGAAATTCCCGGCAGTCGCAAATTTCCGCGATGTCATCAAGTCCTGTCACGACCGCAAATCATCGTATCTTCCGTTATTTTATTTACTTTATTTAAGTGTTCCCAGTTAGTAGAGGGTTTTACATTTGGCTAGATACCATCATTTACTCTTAAATAAAGTGATTGATTGTTTGATGGATTGAATGATTGGAAAGCACCCTCACGAAGAATAATCTTGTTGCATCGACGGAGAATACTCCAAGTAGCGTTTGTTGCAAAGTGCAAAAAGCGAGCAAAAGGCCCAAAACCTGGAGAATCTGACCACTCTTTTACTCTAACAAAAATTCACAACTGTAACTTTAAAAAAAAAGGGCTCAGAGTGTAATATTTAATTATAAGTGATTTTGCCAGATGTAAAGTAAAGCGGACAATTGCGGTTGTATCTTGCGTAACCTTTCCACGTACTCAATGCGAGGCTGCTTCTGCAGTAAAGAGTAGTAAAATTATTGACGTGTAATTTTTATTGCCAGACCGACTTGGATTCAGTTTTTTTTCAGTTGTAAAAGGATTACTGTGCAATCTGGGTTCACTATCGCAAGAGTTCGGACTGTTAAAATTTGACCGGCCAAAAACGGGTAGTGTCTGAGCAAAAGCATGTTTGACCGGACAACGTGACCAGTGACTGCCCATTACGGTTATTTGTAGCCTTGCTAAGAGCAAAAGTAGGATGCCCGTGGCCACTGGGCATTGTTAGACCACAGCCCTGTTGTTGGAATTGTCTGTGGGAATCAACAAAAATGCAGACTGTCCATAGTTAATGTAACTTCTTTGTTGAGATTGATTTGATTTTCTTAAAAATGAGAAATAAGAGAAAGTCATTGCTTGTTTCATTGCCTGTTGCCTTCTATATTATTATAGGAGAACATTCAAACAGGGTAGCCCAAGGGCAATCCTTCTGTAACATGGGATTTGCTCAAAGTCAGCTGGGAGAATACAACAAAGCTGGAGAGAGTTTCTCACATGCAATTCAGGCAGCAAAAGACTCTGATGACAAAAGAGGTTTGTGGCAAGCTTATGAGGGATTAGCAGCAGTCAGCTTTCTGAGCCAGGAATATGACAAGGCAGTGGAGTATTATAAGTTGGCTCTGTCCGTTCTTTCAACTACTGGTGAAGCACACCCTGAACATAACAGCAGAATTGTCAGCAAACTTACAAATGCATTAGAATGCCAATTGATTGTGTCAAAGCAATTGAATGGTAGGTTGCCGCCAATAAGATTGAACAGCATGAAAAGTGATGTTGTAGACAGTGTAGAGAGGAGTAATAAGACAGGAAAGCGAGTTGGTAAAACACGCTCAAGACAGGAGCATCATCAGTTGATTGCAAGGGGAATTGACGGGGATCAAACTACTTCCGAGGAGTCTGAGGGATCAGGTTCGGGAGAGGTGTCCACTTCTAGCGATGAAGAGGTGGAAGAGAATGTACAGGGCATCAAGGATCGTCATATGTTCCAAAGGGTGACAACTACTGCAGCTGAAGTTCATCAGGAGAGGAAAACAGCAAATGGGAAAAGAGAAAGGAAAATGACATCTACAAGTTCGACTGAGGAGGAACATGTTATCAGGGAGAGGGAAAGAAGAGAGAGAAAATACCGCCAATCACAGAGAGCTAGAAATTTGGCCTCCAGAGAACCACTGAAGTCAACACAAGGAGATCACATCTATGAGCAGGTAACTGATGACAGAGTGGCCTCCCCTGCAAGAAGTAATTTTTCTGGTGAGATGCCGCGGGCACACAGAGAAGCATACTTGGCTTCAGTGCAGGCTTCCTCATCACACAGGCCAGACTCACAAATTTCGCAGGAGGAGCAAACTGTCCAATCCAGAACTTGCATTATTCAGTAATTAAAGGCTAATAATTACTAATAGAACAGTTTTTTTAATTGCTTTTGTGCAAAGAAGGCATATTATGGCTTTCTGTGGTGATTTTCATTTTCAGCAAGGTGAGAGTAATTTGTGGCAGACTGGAGACGAATAGAAAATATAAGTCATGCATTTTTAAACCTTTCTTAGAAAACAGAAAAAAGGTGGAATCGTCAATAATTTTTTCAAGGAATACACTCTAAAGAAACTTGGTTGTTATCTAACTATTAAGCAATCATCCAAGACATGCACCTCTCACTTTGCTGGGTCACACTTTTGAAATAAACAAGTTTCTTTTGTTTCTAGTTGAACATTACCTTTCCATGGCTTGTCAACAGTGTGTTCTTGGGTACATTATTTTGAAAATGGACACAAATGTATTGCAAAAATTACATATTGATAATAATGATTTTTAATACATCAACACAAGTTGGTTTAGCAACAGGAGCTATATCTTGCCAAAAATTTTGAAAGTGTACCAAAAAGCTGTTTGCACTTTTTTGGCACAAAAGCTTTGTCATGTGTGTTTGAAAGAGAAGTATTTTCTCTGAGATTTTATTCAGGGCATGAACATTTATTTAGGAGAAGCTACATAACATTCCTATATAGTGATATATTTTTTGAATTTCAAGAGTTAATGTTTCAGTCCGTCGTGAGGCTGTAGCATGCTCGTAGAAAGATAAGGTTTTGTAATTTGAGTATAACCTTTCTTGTGTCAGAGAAATTATATGTTATATATACATTCAATTCGTGAAGTTTGTAGTGGACAGTGGTTTTCTGTGGAAAGCAATATTTCATTAATTATGGCTATGAGTTCTAAATAAAATTTGTCTTTGCCTGAGTTGTGATCTCCAGGGGGTCTTGAAATAAAGTTTCTGGGGCCTATTTTTTTAAGGTCGAACTTCCATTCTACAGGAGGGTTTCAGAGGTTTTGAAAATGATACAAAAAAACTATCACCTAAAGCAACAAAATGGACCTGTGGAGTCTGCCAGTGCTTGTCCCAGAGTAGTTTTTTAAAATCCAATTCTGAAACACTGTGTCTCATCATGCCTAGCACTGTTTCCTCACATTATAATCATTATGACACAACTGAGAAGTAAAATTTCCTGTGACAGAGCCCTTTAGGGGAAGAGGGCAAGGAGACTGATAACAAGCAGAATAGGAAAAGAATGATAACTGATATTAAAAACATTTACTCATAAGTCTGTGTTAGCTAAATGAAACAGTGACATAACATCATGAGGGAAAAATGGTTTCCAGCGGAACACCAGACGAATAGGTCTGATTCAGGCCATGGCCTGGTTTGATGGTAGATACTCTTTTCTCTAATAATTTCACCACACAGGGAACTTTGAAAATAAAAATTTCTTTTCCATTGTCAAATTGCACACATTACATAAACTCTCTCTTGAGTATACTGACAAAAATTATTCAAAATTATTCTCTTATTTACATTTCAATTACTGTATGCGATTTTCAATTTAGTTAGAAAAATCTAGTACATCATATCTTGATAATTTGCTTCAAATCAACCTTAAAATCATGTTTCAATTTTATACATATATTACTTAACAATGAAAATATATACCCTGAAATTCATTAAATAATTCACAAGATACATCTTTAAGTTGTATGAATACAAAGTAAATAAGAGTATTTAGTCAAGAATTGCTTGATTCAGAGCAAAATGTTCCCGGCCAAAGCCATCATTTTACTTCTGCAGTTCTGTAGAGGAAGCAAGTACCTAACTAGTTCTTCAGTTCTGAAAATTCTTCAGCCTCCACATGCCCCTGGACCCCTTAAGGTTTCCAGCCATAGTGCTCATGGTTGCAGCTTTGCTGCACCCACAGACCTCTCTTTTTTTTTAATGAGTTGGCATTTTTGTAACAAGGACAATAAATTTATGAACTTAAAAAGAAAAATTTGATGCAAAATCCATGAAGTAGACACTGCAAGCTGAAATCAGTTTTGAAGCTTCTAAGGGTTCACATGCTGATCAACCAACCATGAGCAAAATCTGTGAACTCTTATTATGATGGATGGAGGATGCATACATAACAATGGTTTATTCAGGCCCAAACCTAAAAACAAAACAAAACTGGTTAACAACAATTGAGGAAGCAGCCTAGCTTTTAAGGTGCTCTTTGGAGGTTCCTGTCAATAGCTGGCAAAGATAAATGTTGTTTCTATACAAATTTTTTAAGGTCTCATTTTTGACCAAAGAGGTTCAGCAGTTTTTAAATACAATGCTTCTTCTAGCTTTCCTTTTATATTCCTAAAGAAAGGCAATATTTGGGTAAAAAAAAGAAAAAATGTGCTGTGTAAAAGCTGAACGCTGAACTATGCTGACAATATAACTGTGCTACAGTCAAGTACCAGTAATTAGAACACAGTTGCATAGACCACATTCTAAAACACTCTAGAATGGCTAGCCAATTCATCTCTTACACCCCCTGTTTCACCCTTCTCCTTTCCTACAATTTTGCACTTTGTTCCACTGAATGAGGAAGAGGATGTATTGTGAGAAACTGGTAGGAGTTAATTCTAAACTTCATTTTCTGAATACTTCCTTAAATCAAAGTAGTTTTAATGCATCACGTAATTTTTCTGTTGATTGAAGTTCTATAGAAATTGAAACTCAACTTACTCTTAGCGTATTGTCCCAGCTTCCTGTGCCAACTGCTGTCCCATCTGGGGATACTTCTAGACAAGTGATGCGGTTATCATGGGCATAATACACTGACAGCTGCTCAGCCTGTAAGTTATTGACAGAAATTTACATTTTTACTTTTTATCACAATCCTTGAGGTATACCAGTCAAAGTCAGTAATATCTTAACTTTGATCGTATGAAGTACACATTGTTCTGTCATGGTCATCTTACATACCTTGAGAGTATCCCAGACATTCATGGTGTAATCATGATAACCAGTGAACAATAATCTTCCTATAATGAACAAAAACATGATTGTGTAAATCTTGTTTTAATCGTGAATTTGTACATGAATAGCCATACGATTGTTTCAATATATTGCCATCAGTTGTGAATGGAAGATAAATAAATTACAACATGTTTTCATCTTCTACATCACTCCTTAACCACCCTTCCATAATTTTTCATTGGACGTGCTTTTTCCTTGACCTTATTAAATTTTTTTTAAGTGTGTTTTGTGTTCAAGCAATAATAATTATTTTGGACTTTTAATAAATGACTTGAAATGTTGTCACAGTCCTCTTTCAACATTTCAGTACAACAAAATCTGACCCTGACCAATAATTCTGTGCACTGTTCTTAAAGCACCAGATTCCTTCACTTTAAAATCTGGCATATCAAATAGTGCCTTCCTTAGTGTAGAAGCTTAGATTTAAAATCTCAGATCAACCCAACCTCTATGTATCATTCTGAGTACTAACCACTTAATGAGAAGTCTAGAGCAGCAGCTCCAAAAATGATGTGTTCTTTGGAAAACACTGCTAACTCATGATCTGCCCTTAAATCATACAAACGGCACTGCAGAGAAAAAAGGTGACATATCTATACCAGGCATAATACCACCTTAAGGCCTTAAGAAAGGTCAACAAGCATCAAATTAATAATCAAAGTATGATCTAAGTAGTAAATTGTCTGAAAGGAAATGTAATGAAACTGTAATCCTCACCGTTGCATCATCTGAAGCAGTGCCAAATGCTTCACCACTGGGATAAAACCTAACAAGAACAAAACAAAGAGGCCTGTTTACAAATGACTTATAAATTAAATCATTCTGTTATTATAAGTGCTGGCTATCAAACTTAGTTAGATCTCCAACAGTTGTTTGGCAATGGGGAACAATGGTTGAGAATCACTCTGAGTTTGCAACCCACTTAGGTGTGCACAAACTTTGTTATAAATGACTGGGCAAGTAAAGCATGGTATGTAATACCCCAATGAACAGTAGTCTGTAGTGCTAGAGCTTCATGTAGTACCTTACTCCATTGATGTCGGATTCATGTGTTTGAAATGAGTTCACAGACCGCCCAGTCCTTATGTCCCAAACAAGGGCAGTTTTATCACATCCCTACACCACAAAAAAAAAAAAAAAGTTTCAGTGATTCAGAGTAATAGAGGATATTTAACCAATAAAAACAAACTTCAAGTTAAGACAGAATTTGCAGTTGTCTCAGTAGTTTTGCTCACAATTAATTTAGAATGATTCTGTAAACTGACAAAAGGTAACACAATGCTTGATGATGTATAATGATTCTATATTCAAACATTGTGATTCTTATAATAAAAAAAAAAACACTTCCTCTAATTTCTGCATTATTATCTGGTTAAGTATTAAAAAGATTGAATGAGGTTACTTACACCAGAAACAAATATATTCCTTCCCTCTGATGGTGCAAGATCAATGCTGTAAATAATTAATTCAAAAGCACCTTTAGTTAAATTTGTTTCTTTGGTTAGTCGTTGAGGCATAGTCAGGGTACAAGAAACCCCAGATTTTAGACATCCAGGGACAATGACAGACTCAGATAGTCTGACTTTTTATACCCTTCATCTCCTGAGAGTGACTGGCTTCTAATTTCTCCTCACATTATCACCCTTGAATTACATATTAAGGATATGAGAATAACAGAAATGATCAAGAAGCTCTTGATTTTCAAACAAATTCTGCTTGTCAATACCATAGGAAATCTAGTCAGAACAGTGTGGAGAATATCAATACTGATGTTAGGGTAACACTTCTAGAGAAGCTGTCTAAGTTCAAAATATTAGAAAATTTGGAATGTGTAGACAAAGCAATAGATAGATGCCACTCCCTACCTCATCACATCAGACGAATGCCCATGAAAACTTTGCAACAGCTGTCCTGACTCAACATCCCATAAGGCACAGGTTGTGTCTCCACTGCCAGTCAGTATCTACAAAACACAAACATGGAAGACAAAGCTTATTAAGCTCACACATAGAAAAAGTGACCGTTTTCAACCTTTTATATCATGTTAAGACATTTTCAATATAGGTGCAGGGCATGGTTGTGGTTAGTCCCTCATTTCTGTTTCTTTGCATTTGAATTTTTTTGTTAGAAAGCACATTTTCATCCTCAACCTCTCTCACTCATATTTTGGAATTTTTGCCAAAATTGTAGAGCTGTCCAGTATCTTTTCTTGCAATAACAAGACAGTAAAGTAAAGTTGGTACACAAACCAAATGGCCCACATTGCCAGGGTTTATTCCAGTTTCCATGATGATAGCATGAAGTGGATTGGATAACTGCTCATCAACCTGAATAGGATGCTCATTTAGTTCAACCCAGGTCTCCCTCCCATTCATACCCCTGAATATAGTGAGGCATTGTGAGTCTGTGTCAAGTGTCCTCTGCAACAAGACAGCATCACAACCCAGTCATAGATTTACCCTGGACCTTCTGATCAGAATTCCTATGCGTTTATCATAAGGACACTTTTTCTCTTGTTGCATGCTAATTACTAAGTTACAATAAACCAGTATTTAACTAATTAATAATAACACTCTTATCACTGTGCTGTATTCACCTGTTGGTCTGAATTTGTGAATGTACAGCAAGCCATGTAGCTGGTGTGCATGGCAACAGTGTGTTTTTTAGTGGCAGCATCATCATCAAAGCTCAATTTAAACAAAGAACACTTGTTGTCAAGTCCCCTAGGAGGAAATTAGAGTAATTAACTCAAATGATGTTCCAACTAAAAGATTTGTCCTAATCCCACTTCCCATTACCAAGAAAAATATATATAAATGGACAGGTTGGTGACTGAAAATCTTGGGTAGACAAAAAGTATTCTTCAGTCCAAAAACAAAAAACATTTATGCCTATAAAAAAGAACTCAGATAAACAGTCAAGCACATTTTTCAAGCTCAAAAACTTAATGACAGTACTGTGTAAATGGACAAAGTAGAAAACTCTTGATCCTTTAAAACCTTAGAGTGGTGTACAAGCATCTTATTTCTTGTTACAGTAATTACTGATGAATCATTCATTATGATCATGAGAATAATTAAGTCAAGTTTTCAATTGATTGTTCAAGAAATTCTCCTTGTCTGTACCAAACGAAATACATGGAGAAGAATATAGAGAAAATGGATGCTGATCAATGTTAGGGTGACTGGAAGTAGTTTTGCGTCAATTTTTCATCAAAAAGGAACTAGTTTTTTATGCCTACAATAGAGAATAGTAAAGCAAAGCATATCAAATGGGACTACAATGACTTTCAATTAAAAATGAAAACTTAACTTACCCACAAGCAACCATGGTGCCTGTTGGTGAATAAGCACATGCCATGACCCATGTTGTTGGCATGGAAATGGCATGTTCCTGTTGGAGAAAAAAAGGAGAAAAAGGATAAGGGAACATATATCTTTTGATTCTAGACTGGTTAACAGGTTTTGTTTTGTTTGTTTTGTTTGTTTTTTTTTTACACAATAAGCCATTTTGATAGATCAAAATCCAGCTCAAAAAAAAAGGCTTGGAGGACTTAACAAGAGATGTTCTTTTTGCTTGTGTCTAGTCAGTCCTGTCCCCAAAATAAATTTGAATATATCAAAAGAAGCTTCCACTTTATTTTGTCTACCGTGAGACATCATTCAAAGCTAATCCATACTTTATTTAGTAGAGAAAATAAATTACATACCTTGTGAGTTGTAAACCCATCCCAAACAATCACTTTTCCATCCTAAAAAAAGAAAGGAAATCAAATACTCAAGAATAGAATAAAATAAGGACTATCACCTCTGAAAAAGTTGATCACTGCTCTTTAGGGAGTTAGCAATAAGTAGAGCTGACTGTCTATCACACAGGCTGCCATAAAGTCCATTTCTTAAGTCAATGTTTTGAGCATTAGTGTTTCACCTTTCACTCTGGCAAAGGGCTAATGCTTGCAATGGCAGCTTCACAACTCTTTACAGTGACCAGTTTATATCGTCAACTCAGTTGACAAAACTAAATTATCTAGTTAAAAAAAAAACTACCTACTAGTTAAAAATAAACTAAAAGCAAAAAAATTAATACCTGCAACATATCTACATGTATGCATGTGGTTTATATTTCAAGATGACTAACTAATTAACTAAAACTAGAATTTTTTTTTTTTTTGCCTATTCACTGCTTATCTAAACGAACCACTCCATAAGGACTAAATAACCAGTGGTAAAAGTACTTAGGAAAGTGCAATTAAATGATGTTTTATAGCAAATTAAAATGCTAAAGGTGTTCTCATCATATAATTATGGCAAAGCCCCTCATCACTAGTCCTCCTCTACTGCCCCCCACCCCATCAAAAAATTATCAGTCAAGAATCTAGTCACAAGGTTAGAAGGACAAAACACTGCAATGTGTTGGGAGTGGACAGGAGGCAGGCAGTGAGCATCAAACATTAAGGTAGCAAAGAGAAAGAAGTGATCCACTGATCATAAGTCTCCTTCCATCGTAAACAAGTAGTATCTAGTAAACAAGATTCTGATAAATTGGATCTTTTAAACAAACATATTCTTTGATTTATATTCAAGGATTTTAACTCTGAATACAATAATTTACTTAAAAGGGCAGGAACTGTAAACCTTAAGGACAAGCGTTTACAAAACAGGATTCTTACTATTTTTAAATGTCTACATCTTTCTGATTATCCAAGATATTTAAAAGATATGTTTCCCTTGTACTATAGCACCTATTTTTTAAGAATAACAATTATACTCTGTTTGCCTAAACCATTGACCACTTCTTATGGTATCCATTCCTTTAGTTACTTGGCAGCAATATCTTGGAATTCTCGTCCTGACCATCACCCGCACTACTTCTGATTTTACTTCTTTTCAACGACTGTTATCTACTGGGAACAATAATTTACTTAGAAGGGCAGGAACTGCAAACCTTTCTACATCAAGATAATTTGTTAGTTAGTTGTCTCTAGGTAGTTAGTTATCCTATCTGTTTTAGAATTAACTTTTTATTATAATTATTTATTAATGTAGTTGGCTCAAAGATATTAGCACCCGAGTGCTACACCGTAAATTCAAGGGTAAATAAAGTTTATTGATTGATTGATCGTCTCATCAGACATTGAGACTACCTGATTGTGCCATTGCCCTGTAATTAGTGGCAATGTCGACAATCACATTCTCGACTGATTAAAGCAAGAGTTATAGTAGGAGATATCAAATGTCACTCAAATCATTCAACCTGTGAGCTGCTGACAAGGTGACGTTTGTCCTGTGCCCAATTTAAACAGAGCACCTTTCCTTGATGGCCCTTCAGAATTCTTCGTACTTTGAGATGTGAGTGGAGAAGGCTGTCCACCCTTTGAGCAACATCTTTTACTGAAATTAAAGAACCCTTTAAGTCAGTCGTAAATGGAATAGAAGGAAACAACTTGGTCGTCAGTGACACTTTGCTGCGCCTCGTGGGCCGGTTTTTTATTCTGCTAAACAGATGCACGATAACATGGAATCTATTTGTTAAGTTAATTGATCTTTTCGCCGAACATTTTTCACTATCTTAAATTAATCATCACGGTACGCGATACATTGACACAACTTTCAAACGATGTCCATGAACAAGGAGAAGCAATATATCTAAAGGCATGATGTTGCACAACTCTCGTCTAAATGTGGTCTCGTACAAATCACATCTGCCCAAGACAAGCGAATCGAAAGATTAGTGAAGACTCGACTACTGCAGTACGTGATTGTAACGCGCTTGAAAGCATGAGTAAAAGTTAAATCACTAAATAACGAAGATTAGCAATCACAGTAATATGACCAGAGAGAGCCCATCGCGAGCACAATCTAAAGTCACGTTCCGAGATAACAGTTGATGCAAAAGATCAACCCGGTTTCGAAAGCCAATGTACGATGTTCATTTTCATATTTGAACAGGTGACAGATACCGACGATAACCTCTTGATCAATAGATAACAACTTACGTTGAAGATCATTAACCTTTTGCTTCTCTTCATCTATCTTCACTTTCAATTGCTCCGCTTCCCTGCAAAGCGAGGCAAGCGATTCTTCTGAAGATGAGCTCGCCGCCATCTTATCTGTTTACCGAGGGCTTTAATTTATGCTAATATCAGCAAGCTTCCCATAATGCCAATGAGCGTAGTTTCCAGGACAACAAAATAATTATGCTGTATTACCACTGTGTACGGCTGAAAGGCGAACCTGTGGCTTTCTTTTGATTCTGGGTATAATTTTTGTGTCCTACATTATAGAAAATGAGTGCGGACACTCTAAGTGTAACCAGACATAACAATTCTTCCGGAAAAACTCTGTTAGACAACTGGGTTGAAGAGGTAAGCGTGATAAAACTTGGAATCAGTGTTTATAATTTAATGAAACTCGCATGTTAGAATTATTGGTTGATTTCCGAAAATTGGAAATATTAAGGCTGTTTTTTTTCCCTTTTGCCTTCAGAGACAAACTGAACAGTTTGATAAAGCCGGTGAAGTCGAAATATCTGAGCTACATAAGCAAGGACATAAGGTAATGGAAGATAATTAGCAATTTAAGTATAGCTTGTTGAAAGTTGTATTGGTAGCTAGGGGCTTACGGGAGGCGGAGGGGGGAGGGTAAGTAAGTAAGTAAGTAATTTTATTTAACCACATATCGCATATGAGCTATAGCTCGTTTAAATGCAAATGTAGAAACCCACCCATCCCATCCCAGGGGAGGACATCCATCACACAGTAATCTCGTGCGTGGGAAATTAACGTTAGAGAGGACAATGCAGAATATTCATAGTAGCTGTTAACCGTGCCTTTCCTCTACTTTCTTCATAGTTGGGGGGGGACAGTCAGGCGAGGAATGGACTGACATGCCTTTTGCATATGCATTATTGACAAAATGCGAGGTCAAGACGTCTTGATATTTGCCAGGTTCTTTTTTTGCAAAAAAGGAAAGCGATTAGTAGCCTGCCATCCTGATCACACAAGCTCGGTCAAGAGAGTATTTATTACATTGCAAAAAGATTTTGCTTTATTAAGATTAAGAATGGCTTGTAAACTTTGAGAGCATAAGGAAAAGAAATCCAAATGTGTTTGTAGCCAAATAAACTCACAAGAGTTGTTATATTTTCTTTGTTTTGACTGTCTTTGTCTCTTTTTGCATCTCCATGGCTGACATTGTCCAACAATTACGAACTTAGTGCTAATTCAATTTTTTTCTTGACCAAAATCAAAGTACACGATCTGGAACTGGCAAGATGGGCCCATCTTGCTCACTTGGGTAAGCCAATCAGAACACAGGATTTACTTCATATTGCTCACTGGCCCTGGTAGGGACGTGCTTATACATATCGTGACGATTAATGTTTTTATTATATTAATTACTTATCTTTTCTTTATCAGGGTATCCTGACAACAGATTTTAATGCTGAAGCAGAGAGATTATCAACTGTCAGAGATTCATACAGGAAACCAGAGACACTTGGAGTGCGAAAGATTGGTTTGAGGCAACAACTTCTACAGGAAGAGCTCTACAGACAAGTGAGGTACATTAAAACACAGTTTGCTTAGATGCCAAGTGAATGAAACTCTTGATCTGGCCAGTTAATTAACTGCTCACTCCCCTGCTTACAGACTCCAATAAATTAACACTTATTCACAACTGTGGAAGGAATTTATCTAATGATTTACAACATTTGCATGTAATTTACATCTGCAAGTTATCCAGTCATACAGTTACACTTCTTCTTCATAGTTATAAATTTACAAAATTAATGTGCCTTTACAGTAGGGATATTTTTTAATTAAATGAGCATCGTGGTCATACAACTAACAATGCTAGTTAACCATTCATCCCCCAGGATCCATTTAGTAATTCTTTTTACTGTCTGCTATACATTTCCTTGTAAATTAAAGATCAGAATAACACCCTCCAGCTGATGAATTTGTCTGTTCTCACAATGTGTTTGCATGGCAACATATTGGAATCGCCAGGAGAAGTTCAATATTAATTGCTTCTGGTACAATGAAAATATATGAAGTTCATATATTTTGAACTGCGGTATTAGATACATATGATGCACGATCCTTGCAGATGCGAGGATCGTGCATCATACGTATCTAATACCGCAGTTCAAAATTTATGAACTTCATATATTTTCATTGTATCTGATTTTATCACTTTCACGGGTTTATTACGAATCAACTTAACGGCCTGCTCCCAGTTGGCTTGTTAGCTCAATTGGTAGAGCGCTGCACTAGTGTCGCAGAGGTCAGTGGTTCGAATCCCGTACAGGCCTGATTTTTTTTCAGGTCTGATTTTCGCTATCGCTTAAATAGCGCTATTTACTGCGAGGATGGTGCATCATACGTATTAATTGCTTCTCTTATTTTAGTGCTGAAGTTGATGAAGAATTTAACCTTCCACCTCCTACAGTGGAATATGTTTCCACAACCAAGAAGGATTTTTCAAAAGGTGTTTCATTTTAAATGTTAACAGCAAATTACTTATGACCAGTACAAAAAATCACTTACCTATTTATACTGTGCTTGGATCTGTAAAATGATATATTTGGTGAGTAACTTGTATCATAATCTCATTGTCTCATTCATGCTATTTGATAATTTTTTTTACAGAGTTTACTCCAATAGTAAAAGTACCAACACGGGTAAGCTTGTTAATTTAGAAAATGTTTTCAGTGGATGACTCTGCAACTGTTATTTCAGTTGTTGTCATTTGCACTCTCAATCATGCACTCTAATTTTTCTAACAACTTCTAGAAATTTTTAGAATTTTTTTGCATAGAACACCCAAAGCAGATTGCCAGAATTATTTGGTTGACGTAATACCTATGGGTTACTGTGTTGTATTCTTTGAAAGGCTCTTAACTCCAACAGGAGTTTAAATGGGAATTAGCAAGCTATCAGAACAAGGAAAACATAAAAAAAAAAAATCCAGGGGGGTCAACTACAATAACTTGGCATCCCATCAAGGTTGGACATCCTCCTAGTTGGTTTATGCCACAGAAACTGGGGATAAGCACTTGTCTTGCAGATGATTGTCACTCGAACTCAAAACTTTACTGCCTGATTTATCTATAAAATAATCATTAGAGACTTGCTGTTTTGTCTTGTCACTCAGGATCATGATGTCAAGACAGAACAACCTGCTACCTTTTGGCTGGAAAGATCTGAAGAAGTTCATGTGAGTACCATGGGGTGTATACATTTTTAGTGAGGGTGGGGGGAGCTAGTAAGGTCTTAATTAATTATATTTAGGCTCCATTTAAATGGTCTTGGGTACCGAAGACAACCCCCCCCCTCCCAGAGAATACTTTAAAGAGTGTTTGTATGAAATTTGACATCCCTCAAGCCCTGTTCACAATGAGTTCACAACCTTATGTAAACAGTTGGCTGAATTTTGTAACGAAATGAGTGAAAAGTTAGCTTGCCAAGAGTTACTTGTGGGGAGGGTTGTCTTGGGTACCTGAGACCATATAAATGGGGCCCTAGAAGCCTGCAAGTTTGATTTTATAGTAATAATGAGATGTAAATAAATTATATTTATGAAAAGGGCAAACTCTCCCTTTTCTATTGCATCAATTCATGTCTTCAAATATACTGACAGAGAATTACAGACTGAAGGAAAATTACTGCATCCTGAAATTTGTGTAGTCTAAACCTGTTATAATCAGGAGTTTTTTTCCTTTCTAGGGTGTATCTCAAGTCAGGACCAAGGACACGCCATTCCGTAAAAATGCTGCCTTTAGTACCCCAATAGATGAGTACAAAGATGCACCTAAGCCAGGAGAAGGCTGGAAATTTTAACACGATCTTTCCCTCACAGTTAATTATCTATGTCAAAATTGTAAATATGTTAGACAAAATTAATTGTCTGTTTATAAAATTGTAAAATAATAATCATTATGTTAATAATGACTTAGGTTTTGTTAGCTGTATAACTTTTATGGTAGTTTGTAGTTTCTGAGAGAGCTTCAAATTTGAGTTTAATAAATTGAACTTGTTGAAAAAAGAAATTACCATTGTTCAGACAAATATCTCTTGTCTGGTTTAAACATGAAAGAAGGAATAGTAGGGAAAACCCACTGTCCCTTGCATTATCTTTTAAGAAAGAGACATTGAAAAGGCTGTTATGATGAACAACTGCATAGAAGAAGCCAAGGATGAAAACTCTTAGCGTCAAGATCGACAAGCACATTAGCTGGCACAACCACATCAAACAATTAATTGGGAAGCTGAATTCTAGAATTAATCTGCTAAAAAGAGCAAATGGCTACCTTGACCTCCACTGCAGAAAATTGTTATTTAATGCACTTATTAAGCCTGTCTTTGAATATTGCTGTTTGGTTTGGGGTAACACCCGTAACAATCAAATGCTGAGAATACTTAGAGTGCAGAAATGTTGTAGTAGGTTAATATTAGATGCTAGTTTCCATGATAACTCGGCTCAAATGTTCAAGAAACTACAGTGGATGCCAATTGGTGATGTAATACACATGAAGAAATTATGCATGATGTTGAAAATTGTGAATGCAGAGTGTCCGCATTATTTTACAAGCTATAGAACTTATGTAAAAAACACCCATGCTTATAATATACGAGCTTCTTTTCGTGATCATCTGGCCGTGCCGAAATGTCGCTCCAACACTGGCCTTCTAACATTTCATGCGAGTGCCACTTACTTATGGAACCGTCTCACGACAAATTTAAAACTATTACAGATGAAAGCAACTTTTAGAAACTTTTAGTGAACAATTTCTTAGAAAGTAATTCAGATCGTGAACATTTTACTATCTCTAGAATGTTTTGAATACGTTTATGTGCATGCTGTTCTTGATAATCTAGTTTTATAATTCTTCTTAATACAGCTTACAATGTAAATGACTGGGTTACCAGGAATTGTGTTAGCAATTAAAGTTTATTTATTTATTTGGTAAGCCATTGTCCTGCCAGTGGGAATTTTTAAGCACTTAGTTAAAACTACATTGTGGCTGAAAAGCCCCCATGGGGGAGCCTCAATTAACGTATATTATTATTATTATTATTATTATTATTATTATTATTATTATTATTATTATTATTATTATTGTCACATTTGTTGTCCCAGCCTTTAAAAAATTTTTCCACCCTCAGCTTGCCACCATATGTTTTTAATGTTACACTTAGTCTAATACCAATTTAAAATGAGTTTCAAAGAAAAGTTTTTTTATTTAACCTGTGCAAAGTCTATCAACAGTAATTGACTATTTGTTTTGTCTCAGAAAACTAGATTGCAGATCATAAACCTATTTATTACATCCATTTTGAAACCATTGGTGGTCCCTGTAACCTGAT